GAGGGAGAAGCACACAGGGAGAAGGAGACGAGCAGGGACAGCAAGGTGAGCAGGGAGTGGGTGAAGAGGAAGAGAGATGAAGAGGGAGGAGGGTGAGGGGGGCTGGTGGGGACAGGAAGTGAAGAGAGAGCAGGTGGCAGGGGAGTGAGGGGTGAGGAGGGAAGGGTATGAAGGCGAGGAGGAAGGGGTAAGGAGGGAAGGGCTGAATAACGGGGTGAGGAGGAACAGGAGAGAGCAGGGAGGGGAAGGGAGCAGGGCCACGAGGAGGGAGGGGTAAAGAGGAAGGAGGAGGAGGAGGGAGAGGAAGGGAGAAGAGAAAGGACAGGAGTGAGGAGGGAGGGGTGGAGGCAGGGGAGTGAGGAGGAGAGGGGATGGGGGTAAGAGGAAAAGGAGGGGAAGGAAGAGAACGAGGAGAGGGGGAGGAAGGAGAGAATGGGGAGGCGGGAGTGGGGGTGAACACGGAAGGGTGGAGACAAGAGGACCATGCCTGAAACAGGTCAGAGCTGAAGGCAGTCAGACAACTGGTTGCTGTCACATTCAAAGTTTTGATTAACATCTGCACCATGACATTCTAATTACTGAATGAAGATTGTGCTTGCAACCTAAAGTGACCTTGGAGTATCTTTTATGTAAGACTGGAGGCAAAAGCAGAAAGACCTGCCAGCATTGACATCCTGGGCAGGACACAATTAATCCCACTGAATCAAGCTCAAAGGTTTGTTGGGGGAAAGACTGTAATGCAGTGTTTTGTTTATGTCACAGATGCTGCTTGGTAAACTCACCAGTTACATATTGTCAAAGCTGTGTTTTCTACTCTTATGGATTTACACACACTCTTTCCAGCATCTTGCCCACACTGAGGCGAAAGGGGAGGTTCTTTTGCTTTCAGTCACAGGGTCTGGGCTGTGATCAGAAAGAGCCTGTATAAGATTAGAATTGTTGAGGTCCGAAATGTACATGGTGGACGGTAAGGGCCAGGGGAGGGCTCACGCCTCCCTCAGGGTTTCCAAAATGACCATGTGGACAGAATGAGCTGTGCTTGCTCTGGCCACGTACTTCCAAAGACCTCTCTCCTTCTGTGTCTTCCACAGCCCACCTTTTCTGCTGTGTCGCCAGGAGCTGAGGAGAAACTCTTTACCCAGCCCCTCAAATTTCATCTCCATGTATTTTTATAAGATGTACCTACTACAAGAAGTCTGTTGAATACCCAAAATCCAGCTCTATTGAGAAAGCAGAGATGAAAATGAGTGTCCAGATTTAGAGACTGTCATTGAACTAGAGGCCCTTGCAGTTATAGAACATTCCCTGGGTGTTAAAACAAATGGCCAGAAAATAATAATAATAACTAAAACATTAGAATAGAAAGAGAAGAATCACTGTGTTCACTTATTTTCTGAAGTATTGAGCTCTATCCTTTAACATACACAAAATGATCCTAGGTTAGTATTTTAAAACAGCAATGGCAAGCTTGGCCTCAGGGCTGGTGAGGCTCATTCTTAGCCAGTTGATATTGAAGGTCAAGTATGACTTGACATTCTCGCATCACCTCCTGGGGCTGTGCAAGCCCATGCTTGTGGACAGATCAGAGTCTTCCTGACAGGGAGTTCCCCTCCCTGCTTCAGACTAAGGCTAACAGAGAGCAGAGGGGAGGTGAGTGAACTTGCTAGAACACAGAGGGTTCCTTCCACCTGCTACAAACTAAGCTTTCTGAAAAGCAGAAGAGATGCCAGGGAGGCGTTCAGAGCATGCCAGAAAAAGAAGAAGAAGAAGAAGAAGAAGAAGAAGAAGAAGAAGAAGAAGAAGCAGCAGCAGCAGAAGCAGCAGCAGCGGCGGTGGCGGTGGCGGCAGCGGCAATTTAGTTAATCTTTGAAAAGCAAGAAGAACAGAGACCCTCCAGGAGAAAACACGAGAAGGGCTGATGGCTTGGGGAGGAGACAGACCTGGACTGGCTCAGCATAGAAATGTTCAGTCCCTGCAGATGTCTCTGCTCCCCCAGACGGCTCATCTCATGCCTCCCCAATCCATCCCACGTATCTTCAAGTTTGTAGAAACACAGGCTGTTCTCCATGCAACCACGAGTGTGGAAGATCTGTAATCTACTTCAATTCCACAAGAGGTTATTAAGCATGTACTTTGTACGAGGTACTGTGTGCAAAGTGATATGGAGGCAGCGATGATGAACAAAACATGAGTCCTGCCCTCAGGGAGCTTTGGGTCAAAGTGAGATACGGACACAAATAAAAAAGATAAATGCAAGATGGTTTTTTTGCATGCTACAATATGAAACACACCAAGGAGGGCAAGATGAAATCTAGCTCCAGACCACACTGGGGAGAAAGGGAGGGCTTGTAGAAGCAGCAGCCTCTGAGATGTGCACTGAAGGGCGTGAAGGATTTCAGAAGGTGGGGAGAGAGGTGGCAGGAGGAGAGAGCCCATCAGATTGCTTGAGTTTAACTAAAATAACCAGCATTTCCAACCTGCATTGGACTAACTCATTCTAAGAAGCCAAATGGACAGACTGCCTAGAGATCGTGGTGTTGGGGTGGGGGGACGGGAAACACTGTGTTGTCACTGGGGTTACAGGATAAGAACAGAGCAGAGACTCAAGCCCTGGAACCTCTTCACCCTTACAAATGCCAGTTGTCCTGGATAACAGCCCTTTTTCGGCAGGTGATGAGTTGATCCCACGCCATCCTGCCCAGTTTCGCAGTGGTGCTCCATCTACTAGGACAGCAGGAGCTAGCTACCAGAAAGCCCGTGGCAGCCCATGAGGTTAATGACCTAAGTTTGCAACCACTCGCCTTCATCAGTTTCCCCTGCCCTCCACGTTTTCCTCCCTTTACTGCAGTTTTCCGACAGCGTCTGTCAGCAATCTCCCCATAACCCCAGTTTATCATTCCGCTGCGGTTCCGGACGAGCTTTGGGGCCACTGCAGTTCGACCAGGGCCTGGCTTTGTTCCTCCCGCCCCAGCAGGCGTGCAGTCAAATTTCACACGAGATTATGCTCAGCTCAAAGGACAGGAGGGGGCCTCAAAGGTGAAGCGAGAGCTGCTACCAGCCTGCCCGAAGGTCTCCTCATTGCCAGCGGAGGAACGGAACCGAGGACCACACTCCATCGTTCATCTCGATTTCTGTGTCCTAAGGTGACCACTGCAGATGATACAAGGCACGATTTGGAATTTGCTCCACAGTGGTATTCAAACTGCATGGGCTATCAAAACTGCTGTGAACAGTCACCTGAGAAGGGGTATATGTTCATACCTTTGCTTTGGAAGGAAATGTGGAATGTTTTAGGAAACCACTGATCTAAGGTCAGAGACTGACAAAAAATCTGAAAACTACCAGTGTCCCCTGTGAGCATGATCATCCAGGCCACCTGCTCAGTCGTACAGAAGGCTCTAATATCAGGGATACCGCCCCCATAGTATACTCTCCCTCTTTCTGTCTGGTCTGTCACTGAAACGAACATGTGAATTTCTTTGTGAGCGAGGGGTTCCAGCCGGATCATTCCAGAAAAATTCTCCGGAAATTGCCACCTTCCAGCCAATAACTATAAACCGAAAACAGTTCCTAGTAAAGAGGGCGTGAAGAAAGCTTCGCTTACCTCTGCCTCAGTTTCCTCCTTTGTGCAGCGTCGATAAAAGCGGTGCCCACCTCTAGAGGTCCCGTGAGGAATACATGAGTTAAGACCAGTAGAGTGCTAAGAAACCCTGTGTGGCACATAAAAAAATGCTCAGTAAACGGGCACACGGGATGAATGAAGAGGAGGCCAGCCAGACATCTGTCTGTGGCAGCCTTCGACTGGGAATTCTACCCAGCGCGCGGCAGAAATGGCCGGCCTGAGCCATGGCGCGGCGGAGGCAGAGTGGAACCCAATTCCCACTTCTCTGCTGCGAAGCATAAACTACACACCAGGGGAGAAGGGGACGCTTCTCAAGAAAGAATTCCTTTGGCATCTTGACTTCAGCTTGGCTCCACAGCCCCGATCACCCCTTGGAGCCACCGTAGTCTCAGCTACAGGTGTGGTCACTTGTTTTTTTTTTTTTTTTTTTAAACCGCACATCCCACCAATCGTCTCCTTTGCTTAACCCACTCCTCAGCGTTGCGCATGCTCCCTGGGCTCGGATAACTGTCGATAAAGAGACGCCGGAAGTTGGGAGATGAGGCAGGTCGGTCGACTTGCGCACTTGCGCACGTGAACAGAATGAGCCCCCCGGAGCCTTTCGCTTTTCCCTTTCTGCGTTAAGGGAACACGCAGCAAGCCTGCTCTGCAAAAGAAAAGGCCATATTCTGCATGTCTTCGTGGGGATATGATAGGTTTCATTCCCTCTTCTCTGAGTTTCTAGAAACTTCCGCCCCAGATCTGAAGATGAAAACGTGTCATGGGGAGGAGAGAAGGCGGCTCACCTGTGGGGCCTCCCCGACGCAGCCAGCTCTGCTCAGTTGTTTTCGGTCAGGTAATTCAACTGAACTCACAGCACATAATTCGAAATCTTCAGATTTGCATGCTAACTTCTACTTTCTTAAGCGAATCTGGCTTTTAGCTATTATACAGAACACGCGTGATAAATCTTTAAAAAAAAATAGACTAAGTCTGCAGGGGAACCTCTGGGGAAGGTGTTACTCTTGGCTCCTGACTTCAGGTACAAAGCTCTGTTGCTTCCATTGCCCTGTTCTCCACCCCAACAAGTCTCAATCGTTCAGGCAGGAAGCAAACAGAAGGCAGAACAGAAAGTAGTTACCAGGGCTCGTGGGCAGGGTTCCCTGCGGCAAAAGGATGCAGGCCGGAAGCACCTGGCCTGTGGTTAGGTGGAGTGGGCTGGTCATTTCTGAAGCAGAGGGAGGAGTGGTTTGAATGTTTCTCTTGTCTGCCTCCTCCAGCATAAAGATAGATGGAGGCAGGAGATGAGCCAGCCTCTCAGTGGCAAGACAGGAAAGCAAAGCAACACATCCGAAGTGAATCCAAGCGGGGGTGGGGGGGGTGGGGGGTGTCTCTGCTGGGTTCCTCCAAGTGGGGTGCACTACAGTTCTGCAACCAACAGGGTGAACCCAGAAACCAGGCAAGGGAAATCCCCACTGCAGACATCCCATGGAGTCTTGGAGAAAGAAGCCTCCAGGGGGCTCTGGCCGTGTTAGAGTTGAAAGTGTAAACCCTCAAATGAGGCAGCCTTGGAGGGAGACCCCTGGAAAGGGAGCATCTTGCTTCCCAGAGCCAGAGTGAGGGGAATGAGTATCTGGGCATAAAACAGCTCACAGGTCTAAGAGTTGTCTATTCATATATCGTCTTTATCTACATAAGGTTTTCTCTTCGCTGATTGGATATCTTTCCATAAACTTGCATTTAGAGCACTGATTGACTTTCCAGCCCCAGCCTATCTGGAGAAGATACTCCCGGGGAATGGGAGAGAAGATAATAAACCTGAGAGCCGCATGGAACCGTTCGCTTGTCCAGGCATAAACCAGTGGAGACGGTGCTCTGCACTCTGTGAACTCTGATTTCCTTGCTTGATGTGTGACCTTGGACACTTGCCAGGGCCCTTCCTCCCCAGCAAGTGGCAGCTGGGGCTGTAAATGGAACTGTGGCTACAAAGCTGGTGAGTTATGTAATTCCTCACAAAAAGTGGACTTCTCCGTGGAATCGTGGGTGACCACGAACACAGTTTTTTGTGTTTGTTTTTTTCTAAGAATTCATAACAAAAGACAGCCGAGATGAAAAGCTGTTTTTCCCTTCTAGGTGCTCTTTCTATTTATTTCTGTTATTAGAGGTTTAAAGCTGTTGGATATGAAGGCCAGCCTGCTTTAAAAGCTGGAGGTCTTGCCTTGAGGATCATAAAGTTAGTTCCAGTCTTCTGTGGTTTCGTAGCTACAGTGGAAGAGGGGAGAATGCTTAGAATTGGGACTTTTTAAATGACATTAAAAATATACAAAGTACAAGCTTTATGAAGTATACAAGGTATGAATTCTAAAGTATGAGGGGAGGGGAAATGTCTAAACTATGATAAAAAGTAACAGGAAGAAATGGGAAGGCTTGATCTGGTACAGGCTGGCCACCATTTTAATTCCTTTCCTATGCTTCCTACATTTCCTTACTGTTCCTTCCTGTTATTCATCATTACTGTTAATGTCAAAGCAGTATATATATTGGAAAAACAATATTACGTGGATGGAATTCCATCTATTTTATTTAGATCCAGCATGGGTCTGTGAGCTGGTTATCTCACTTTGGGTAATAGAAAGATGATGTGAACACTTGAAGTAATTTGGGCACAGTGTTATAAATGTGTAAGGAAATGTCACTGTTTAAAGGAATCTAGATATTCAGCAAATTATTACGTGGACCCACCTCTTATTCTGCTTATTTTGTAAAGGGATCAGTCTTTTTGTAGAGGCACTGTTGTATTAAATATATCCGAATTTTCACATACTGAGATTTCCTACAGCAAGGCAGGACTGTGTTTTATCATTTTATTACTTCTGATTGGCTGGATTTTTTTTTTAAGAGTCTTATACAATTCGTATTGCTAGTGTAAAACTAAGTATACGGGGCCTGACCCTCTAAGTGGGAAGAGAATAAATTGGAAGCCACTGGGGTACAATTTGGTATGTTAACTCACCCCTGATCTAAATTTTAGCCTAATGGAATGAAGTCACAGCTGGGTGGAGAGAGGAATGGTCTCCTGTCAGTCAGTGTAGCTGCTGAGTCAGGAGAGAGAGGGACCACTTGCTCCCGGGTGGGTAATAACATAGGCAGAGGGTAAAGTTTTCTCCAGCTCACACACAGCCACACAGACACTCAGGCACACCAGACTGATTGCATCACTTACGATATAGATTTACTTGTAGATAACAAAGATCCAAAATAATGGGTATTTTAAGAAACAAATTTGCTTCTCGTGTGTAAATGCATAATTCAAGACTGTCTGGCAGCTCCTCATTTATTGGGACTCAGGATGCTTCTACACCGTCCTTCCATCCCTGGGAAGTGACTACCACCCTCACGGTCCGGTATGGGGGACCAGAAATCATTCCATTTTCCAGGAAGTATTCTAGAAGAATGCCTGTGGAAGGAACTGCAGATCATTGTCTAATATCTAATCTCGCTTTCTGAGTTCTAGAAGCCTCATGGTTGTCTGGAATAAGAAGTCCATCGCTAGTCCTGTGGCAGCTCCGACTTCAGGCTACTGGGAGGTGAGGAAAGGAGGTATGTGAGAGGTCCCGGTTGTGTCATGAAAGGCAGCAGCAGTATACCATCTCTTAGCCCTTTTTCTCCATTTTGGATAATGAAGTCAGAGGTTACTGGGACACAGTGGTGCCACTACCCCAGCCTTGCCCTGTCCATTCAGATTTTTCCATGAGACAGAAATAAACTTCTGTCTTATCAGCCTCTGTCATTTCAGTCTCTGGTAAATGCTGATGACAGTAAAGCCTACCTAATACACCTATCTTTAGGGAAATTTCATGGAGGGTTAAATGTATTTTAGTTACTCAGGTCCAGTGGTAAGCCCCAAAGCCTCATCACTGGCCTTTGGCATTGGCACATTGAAAACCATTTTTCCAGCATTCCCAGTCTTCTAGATAATGCTCCAGGGCGTTAGGGCAATGCAAAATGAAATGTGACCTGCTCCTTCCCTCAAGTAACTTAGTATCAAATTGAGGACAGAATGAAGAGAGCAAATATTATTGGATGCCAATCATATGCAGGCACTGCTGTAGTTGTTGGCACATGTCATGTATTCCTTAACCTGCCCCTCATGAAATTTTTGTGGAGTCCTCATACTACAGATGTGGACCCCAAAGCTGAGGAACGTGGCTGTGCCCAGAGCTGCACTTAGAATAAGCAGTGGGATTGCAATTTAAGGTTTAGGTTTCTGACTCAGGAGCCAACCCTTCAAGAGGCTGCTTCATGGACATGTATCTGAAAGGCACGAATGCCACCTCCAGGTGACAAGGGCCAAGCCCTTCAGATGCCTCAGCTGATTCTTCTAGGGAGGTCACCAGCCTTCATAGTTTCCCCAGGGTCACTATGGGACTATGAATAACCACAGGCTTGTTCTTCCCCTTCTATAAGGAAGAGTAAACCCACCTCAGGCCACCACACCTATGAAAGTGTCACCTTATGGGTCTTATCACTATGACTGCAATCTGTATTTTCTTTTCTCATTGAAAAACAAAAAATGTTCACCAGACAACTCCCTTTCTGACCCTTGCTTTTGCCTCCTTATCTACTTTGGACTCCAGGCTCTTCCGCTCTGGACATTTCTCTCTCCATATTCCGCATACGTAAAATAGCACTTGGAACCTGTATCCCCCTTCATTCAAGGGCTTATTATGCCTAACTGACCCTAAAGCATATAAAGTAGCCTGTCCAGACATTTATAGAATTATATCGTCTCTTAAATCATGTCACACCTTTTGCTAAAAAATACCCAGCTCTTAAATCATTTGCAGAGGTAAGCCAAGGTTCAGAGTCCTAGACAACCATAAAGTCTGAATGGGATGAAAATTTCAAAATCACTTGAAGAATTTATATGTGCTCAAATTGTAATATCAACTCCGAATGATCACCTAACATGGGTAAGGCCTGGCTTGCCTACCCATTTTGAGAGTAGTAAGAAAAGATGACAAGCCTCTCTTACATACTAGGAGAACTCATTCCAAAGAATTATCTGAATTCAACCCAGCAGAGATCTTTGCCAGCATTAGCTTTGGAAGGAAGGGGCTGTGGTCCCTTGTATTATTTATAGTAAGGGAACACAAGCTGATGAAACTAAAACCCCCCAAATCTTACAAAATAAAATAAGAGCTTATTTCTTTTTTTTTATATTTTTATTATTTATTTGAGAGAGAGTGAATGAGAAGAGTAGGGGGGAGAGGCAGAGGGAGAAGCTGACTCCCCACAAGCAGGGAGCCTGACGCAGGGCTCTATCCAGGAACTCCAGGGTCATGAGCTGAGCTGAAGGCAGATGCTCAAGCAACTGAGCCACCCAGGCGTCCCAGTAAAAGCTTATTTCTTGCTCACAGCATCATCCCATTGGGTTTTCAGGGGCCAGCCTTCAATGAGACGATTTGGGGACCCAGGCTCACCATCCACTAGGCTCCCGAGAATGGTTCCTCTGCATTTGACCCAAAGACAAGGGAAGTGACAAAGTATGAGATATTGTGCTGCTGTTATGGTCAAGTCTGGACATCACAATGTATCCACAAGGATCCATTTTCCTGAATTCAGACTCCAAGACCCAAACCTAATTGTGGGGGAGGTTGGAAAACGTAGTCTTCCAGTGTGTCCTGGACAAAGAATTGGACTCCAGCATAAACAGCTGTCTCTGCCCCACTGTGGGGGGCAAGCCATTGGTAGTTGGTTTTACCACCCATGTCCAATGGTTGGTATGTTATTTCCTCACTCCCCTGATCACCTACATGCAGAGGGGTCTGGTGCCTAGGAGGCCCTGGTACTCTGACATAAAGGGAGGGTCAGATCTTGGCCATGAATTTGCAACTTCCACCTGCTGTGTTTTCAAATCAGCGTGGAGTTCTGTTGGTATCTGTCACTGCCCTCCCCCCACCCATCCTCACTGCCACCCTAACTTGCCTTTTCCCAGGTCTGGGAAGTGGAACGCTGAGTATCTTTGCCTTCCACCTCCACAGACAGAAGAAAAGAGGCTTTTACTCTGAGGTTATGGCTTTTGTGTGGCATAAGAGCCTCCTCTCCCCAGAAGGGATTCTCCCCTAAGACCATCAATAGAGATCCCTTCCCCATTCAGCTCCTTGTATCCTTATAACAGGTGGAATGGCAAGTAAGCCTCGATGTGAGTTCTAGAGCTTTAGATAGAAGCAGCAGCAATGAACTTGAAATTTGGCTGTTGTCCTATTTGGAAGTCATTATGGTTACTGGGTCTGTTCGCAAATAGTCATGTTCTCTTTTCAGAGACCTAGGAAGATTGCACTTTCCTGACAACTTTGGCAGCTGGTAGCAGGGCCAGAGGGCTTCACCTGGTCAAGGAAATGTGAGCAGACGTGATTTATCATTTCCAGGTAGGAATGTGAGGAGCCAGTATTTGACTTAATGGTGTTCCTTTTCCCCCTCCCCACCAAGGCCTCTTTAGGTGATGATCTGGTGGTAACTTTTCCCAAAGGCGACACTCATAAGGCTCTTTCCCATAGGAGTTCTGTCAGCCTGGGTCCCTCAATTACTATAATAGTCAGAGGCCCCTGATGATTCTCGATGGACACGTAACAATGAGAGAAAAATAAGCATGGCTTCACTGAGCCAGTGTGAATTAGAGATGGTTTGTTACCCAGAATAACCTGAAAGGACCTAGCGGATAAAAGTCCCATGATTTCTAAAAGTCCCATGATTTCTTTCTAGGACAGAACCTTTTTCCATTGACTTTTACTTTGTTATGAAACCTTTATGCTTACAAATTACATGCACAAAATCTAATTTTTTTAAGTGCAGCCAGGTAAACATCACCCAATTTCAGAAATAAAACCTGACCCAATTCCTTTAGATTCCACCATGTGACTCTCCTCCATTGATTATTCCCTTCTTCCCCCCAGAAGATGAGTTATTTTTTCTATTAATGATTCATTTGAGTTTCTTTCTTTCTTTTCTTTTTTTTTTTTTAAGATTTTATTTATTTATTTCAGAGAGAGAGAGAGAGGGAGAGAGAGTACAAGCAGGGGGATCGGCAGACAGAGGGAGAGGGAGAAGCAGACTCCCCGCTGAGCAGAGAGCCGGATGCGGGACTTGATCCTAGGACCCTGAGATCATGACCTGAGCCGAAGGCGGAGGCTTTAACCCACCAAGCCACCCAGGCACCCCTTACGTTCTGTTTTTAGGATTCCTCCACGCAGATGCATGTAGCTATATCTTAATTCACTTTTGCTGCAGTTTAATGAATATCACAGTATGAATTTATCCCTTCTTCAAGCAGGTGGCCATTTGAATTTCCTGTTGGAAATTTCTGAATTAGAAACTAGGCTAATATGAGGATTCTTGTGTATATTGTGGTGTGCACGTGTAAGAATCTCCATAGACGTACACCTAGGAAGAAAAATGCTCTACTTTGCTCCATATATCCAAATTGTTCTCCACAGTAGCTGCTCCAATTCATACCGCCACCAGCTTGCGAGACTTCCTGCACTGTACCCTCACCAGCCCCTGCTAATGATGGCCTTTTTCTTTTGTTCATCATGGCGCTGGGTATCAAATGGTATCTGACCATGGTTTTCATTTTCTTGAAGACATACTTCCATCACAAGTGAATTCGAGAAACCTAGCTGAGCATCTGTTCAAAACAACTTGGCGTAGGTATTCTTAAATTAGGTAAATGTCACAAACCAGGCCCCTTCTTATAGAAGAGGTTGTAGTTGGAACAGGCACAATTATTCATTTTTGGACATTCAAAAATACCAAAGGATTTATGCTACTGTTTGTGTTGTAGGTTAAACAGTTATTTCTTAAGTGGCTTCTTTTAGGGGTTAACAGTATTATCTAAAGCTGTGGAAAAAGCAAATACATTTCAGGGAAATTATAAACATTTCTTTTATCTCACCAGATAAAGAGATTTAGTAGAAGTCCTAATGCACCCACTTGGCTATACACAATTTATAGCAGATAAAGAGTTTGAAACACTTTAATTTAAACAGTCACAGTTTTGTTTTTTGGGGTTTTTGTTTTGTTTTTTTTGAAGGTTGCTAAAAGGCTCTTTGACACTCTTTGTAAGTGGGGACCATCTCAGAATAAGAACTGGTTCTGGATAATATCAGAATTCATTTCCCACTAAGCATCTCCATTAAGCACTTTTTTCATCTCTGAAGCCTTTCCTTTTATGTAGTGTTTGCATCATTGACACCTTCTCTTACTGAATCCCTAATATAAACAAGGGATGTAATAAGCCCTAATGTATTTTATCAAGATTTTAAGAGATGTGGTTATGGTATGAGGATAACCAAATGGGGTAGAAAGTAAAGCAAAATTTTCATAAACACCTCAAGCTCATCTGACACTGACAACTCTGTAAGGCCAGGAAAGAAACATTGTCCCTGTGTTTATTCATCAATTAGAATTTGATGAACTCCAAATGTTATCTGACCAGCCAAATCCTGTAACACAGCCTTTCAGGAGAAAATTAGAAGCTCAGCCCTGTTTGGAAGACAGACTTGAAAATAAATTTACTTTCTCCCTATCTACGTCCTCATGGCAACAGGGAGTTTCATGAACCACAACAATAATACATGAAAAGCAAACCTTCGGAATTCACCATCTTAATCCAGTCACATAAGAAGGCAGTCCATCCAAAACTTAAATTTTGCGTGATCTGTCTCAGCTGAAAGCGAGCTTAGTCACTGTCTGAGCAGCCTACGTGGAAGGGCTGGTTTCTGGTTAACTCTCCTCTCCAGGATTTTGTCCTCTGTGAGATTCCGAGGTCTTCCATGGCAAAGGTTGGTGAGGGCCGGGCAGCAACAGGGATCCTTTGGGACTGAGGAGGGCCAGTGGACTGAAGAAGTATGGCTTAGATGAATGCTACTCCCAGTGGGGTCTGTGGACTAGTGCCAGCCTGCACACCTGTTGTTCCCAGTCTCCAATAGAAAGGGGGACACGTTGAGAGCAAGGATCTAAACCTTTTGTAGCCACAGATGCTGCTGCTAGAGCCCCGTGGATGAGAGCTGAATTTGTCTCACTAAAGGACATGTTCTACAAAAGAATGGGCTAGTGACATTTAAAAAAAAAATAAACGACAAAACACTTACCCTTCACCACAGAAGGTTGGAGAAGGGTCGGTCCAGGGATATGGTTAAAACTCAGATTCTTGATCGCCAGTCGATTTGAGTGATGTCATGACTGCATTCTGAACGAGTTTCTAGGTGGGGCTGCTGCTATGGTCAGGACCGCCCTTGACGTGGCAGTGGTCTAGATTCAACTAAATACAAGAAGCTCCCTGCTATTTGTCACGGATGACTCACAAACGTGGACACTTTAATTCTGTGGTGCCAGAAGGTAACACCTTTTGGATACTTGTATTTGGCACCTTCTATGTTTTTAGAATGTGGCAGTTACCATTTGTCATGCTCCAAGAGTTCCGCTCTTCAAGACTTTTCCATGTTATCCCCTTCTGCCCTCTTAGAACTGGCATTATGGTGACATTCTTCTGAATTTTTAGAGCTTCCTCTTTCACTGTTTGAAAGCTTTGCCAGTGTGTTAACAGCATACACATGCTGGGTCTCATAACCATTGCAGGCAATGCCTTCTGGAAAGAGATGGGGATTATAACTGGCATCAGTACTGACCTGAATTTTAAGACATATTCATAAAAGAAGGGAAAGGCTTGATATCTCCGGTACTAGAAACCCACAGTGCCTACCATCCAAGCTGCTCAAGTAACCTTTGACAACTCACCTGAGTTTCTTTGTTGCAGTTTCTAGAACATCAGCCAAACCTAGGTATCTTCAAAATGAACAGAGCCTGGCACTTAGGAAATTAACTGCCTCTGAAGGCAGTAGTCCCCTTCTCTCCTTCTGTAAATAGCTAGGAAGAACAACCCGGAGCAGCTCCTGAGCCTCTAGGAGACTTCCATCAGCATCACTGCTAGAGAAATTCAAGAGCTTTCTCTAAGGCAATTCTGCCACTAAGTCAATTATCACAGGGTGTGGCAGGCTTTTAGAGAGAATAAACTACCCTTCCTACTGAAAGAAAATGATGAATTCTCAAACGGGACCCCTCTAATAATCCATTTGCTTGGCGACATTGTACTCCTATTGGCCAATTATCTAGTTTGATGCCCGTTGTTTGCACAAATGTCTTCGAATTCTGGGAAAGATGTACAATTCGGAGAGCTACTTGTACAGAAAAAGGGGTCAGTATCGTCCTTAGAAGAAAACGTCCTCAAGAGTCTGAGAGATTGAAAGCAAATCTGTAAATAGAAGCCACCTAAGGGAAGTCTGAAAGAGCATGTTTTAAATTCTGAGTATATCCCAATTGTGGCAGTTTCTTTACTTTGATTTAGCTGCTGCTCAATGGCCACGTATGCACTTCTGTGCTTCCATCTCATCTGCAAAATGGGGATAATGACAGTAAAGATTAAATGAATTAATACATGTCAAGACCTGAAAATAGTCCCTAGTGTATAGTAAATGCTATATAACGTTTCCTCGGATCTCATCATTTTTTTTTTAAAGATTTTATTTATTTATTTATTTGAGGGAGAATGAGTGAGAGAGAGCATGAGAGAGGAGAAGGTCAGAGGAAGAAGCAGACTCCCCAAGGAGCTGGGAGCCCGATGCGGGAATCAATCCTGGAAGTCCGGGATCATGACCTGAGCTGAAGGCAGCTGCTCAACCAACTGAGCCACCCAGGCGCCCGGATCTCATCATTTTAAAGAGTCTTGGTGACTTGGGATCCCTTCCATCCCACCCACCCCACCCCACCCCACCCCTGCTCCAGACAACTCCCATCCCCTAGCCTGAATACCAGTATTACCCAGGCTGGTGTATACTGGTAAAAGCATAGACCAACTCCATTCAATAGAAATACAATACGAGGGGCACCTAGGAGGCTCCGGTGGTTAAGATTCTGCATTCAGCTCATGTCGTGATCCCAGGGCCCTTGAGCCCAACCTTTCAGCTCCCTACTGAGTGGGGAGCCTGCTTCTCACTCTGCCTCTAAACTACCCACCCACTCATGTTCTCTCGCAAATAAACATATTTAAAAAATCAAAAAATATGAGTCATACATGCAATGGTAATATTTTTTAAGAGTAAAAAGGGGTAGAACGAATTTTAATATTTAAAAATATAATCCAGCACAGCCAAAATATTATTTCAACATTTCATCAATTTAAAAATTATTAATGAAATAGTTGACATCCTTTTTTTCACAATAAGTCTTTAAAACATGTCGACTTTTACACTTATGGCATATTCCAGTTTGAATGCTACATTCCCATTAGGATATTTGCTAATAAGTATTTAAGTTTCATAAAATTTACAGTTGGAAAAGTACCTTTACTTACCCAAGTTGTTACAAACATACTTGAAACTTTTCCAGTAACTGAAGGGAGTTTTCACTCACTGGATTATATATCAGGTTTTTTTTTTTTTTAAGTTTAAATTAAATAAAATTATAAATTCAGTTCCTCATTTTGCACCAGCCATATTTCAAATGCTCAAGAGCTACATGAGGAGAGTTGGTACCATTTTGGATAGCACAAGTGTAGACTGAAAACACACAGCTGTGCCAAGTCATGATATGGTCCCTGACAAGTTATGTGACTTCTCTCAGCCCTAGTTTCGTCATTACAATTTATAAATATACAATAGAGGAAAATATAACTTTATTAATAATTATATTTTCTTTAGTATTAGAAATAATGTGTCTAAAACACATAGCACTGTGATAAACAGATTATAAGAGATCTTCAATGAAGAGGGACTGTTTTTCCCTTAACAGTTTAAGAAAAAACTGAAACATCCAAAAAGCTATAAATCATACAGTGAATCCCCACATACCCACTACCTAGATTCTAGTATTGTTAACATTTGTTTATGTTGCTTTATCACATGTCGGTGAGAAAGGACATTGACTACCTCCATTTTGACCTCGAACTTTCTAATTAAGTTCTTTGCAGCCAATCTCTTAACTCAAGCAAAGGCCCCACAGGCAAAAGTATCCCATGATGCCATCCAAAACTCCTTCCTCAAGCAACAGGGACTGCCAGCAAGATTGCGCGTGACTGACCCCAAGACAATGATCCACCTGACTTTTACTGCCCACCTACACATAGTCACCAAGCCCTGTCCTACATTTTCTTTATATGAACCAAGAAGTATTTTCAGCACTTTGGAGACCATTTTTGAAGAAATATTAGTCTGCTGCTGTCTTCCTAGTGTTGGCCTCACTGAAATAAATCCCTTTCTTCTTTCACCACCACTCGTCTCTGCCTTTGGATTTTGTCAATAGCAAATGGTCAAACCTGGTCTGTTTGGGACTCTGGAGCCAGGTGTGCTTGCTTCCCTGTGCTGGGGTTCCATCTGCATATCCACTCATCTGTCCAGCTGACTTTCATGTAGTTTAAAGTAGATGCAGACATCAGTATACTCCACCCTTGAAACTCCAGCATGCGAATCATAAACTAAATTCACTATTTGTCTTTCCTTTCTCCCTTCCATCCTTCCTTTTTCTTTGGCTTCCTTATTTACTGTCAGGTAAAAATATACATAGTGGGGGTGCCTGGGTGGCTCAGTAGGTTGAGCCTCTGCCTTCAGCTCGGGTCATAGTCTCAGTGTCCTGGGATCGAGCCCTGCATCGGGCTCTCTACTCAGCAGAGAGCCTGCCTCCCCCTCTCTCTCTGCCTCCCTCTCTGCCTACTTGTGCTCTCTCTCTCTGTCAAATAAATAAAAATCTTTAAAAATATATATATACACATAGTGAAATTCGCAAATGTTCAATGAGCCATTGCATGAACATTGACAGTGCATATACCTGCATAAACCAAACTGCTGTCAAGACAGAGAATATGTTTATTATTCCAGAAAGTTCCCTTACAACTCCTCCTTGCTAATCTTAGTCCTTACTGTCCTGCTTCTTGCCCCAGGCAATCATTGTTCTGGTCACCCCCTACAGATTAGCTTTGTTTGATCTAGAATTTCAGTCACACAATATATGATAGTTTTGCGGAAACTTTTCACTTAGCATAATGTTTTTGAGATTCATTCACGCTGTCGTGTATTTACTCCTTTTTATTACTGAGTACTAATTGCGGCCATTTTTAGTCAAAACTGTCGCCCCAGGGCACCTGGGTGGTTCAGTGGGTTAAGTAAGCTTCTGCCTTTGGCTCAGGTCATGATTTCAGGGTCCTGGCATCGAGCCCCACATTGGGCTCTCTGCTCTCAGGAAGCCTGCTTCCTCCTCTCTCTCTCTGCCTGCCTCTCTGCTTACTTGTGAACTCTGTCAAATAAATAAATAAATTCTTAAAAAAAAAAAAAAAAACTAACCCCTCTCCTCAACCAAACCATTCCATTCCTTTACAACTCACTAAAGTCCACACCCTATCAATCCACCATGGATCTAAGGCTTCCAGCTGTTGATGCTAGCTCAACTCCTTACAATTAATGAAAGAAAGTCTTCATATGACATCCTTTAAAATTTATGTACAGTTGGAAAGTTTCTGAGCTTTCTATGGAGAAGGCAAAGCTTTTCTAATTCCTTCAGTTCTTCATACAGTGATGTTTTAGCTTCTTTTGATGTCCTGGTCATTCTCTGTGTTCACTCTCTTAGCACAGTTTGTAATTCAGATTTACTGGTTTGTTTATTGATTCTCGCCTCTAATGAGCTGTAAGTTTTACTGGGCAACACCGTGCCTATTTTGTGCATCTGTGTACACCCAGCACCTAGGATCATGCCTGGTAATCAGAAGGCCCTCAACAAATATTTTTTGAATGAATACATGACTATAGAAAGAAAGAGCCCACCTTTAAGCATGTTTAATTTCGCCTATATGTTAAGTATATATGTGACATCAGGCAGGTATTAGAGGAGGGGTGAACACTGGAGCTTGAGGAAAACACTAATTTCCAAGAGACAGGCCTCAGGGAAGTTGCCAGCCAAGTGCACTGACTCCATTCCTGGAGTCCCTGTCTCCAACTCTTCTCCAGTGAGCTAAGTGCATAACCTACACCAGAATCTGTAACTTCCCTTACAACCTAAAACCAGTCATTATTAGCTGGGCCCCTTTATTTTCCAAGTGTCCTTAAGTCTCCACAATTAAGCTGACAGTGCACCTTTCCCCTCATGCCCAAGTCAAATTTGTGAGATAATTTTTTAAAATATTGTTTTGCCATTCTAGTATTTATCTTACCTTTCTTCCAAGCAGATAGACGGGACTTTTTGTTCAGTTCCTTGCTTTGGAGGAGTTTGTGATTCATAAAAGCAGAAATTACCTTTGTCTTGACCCTCAGTCTTGTTTTTCCAGAAGCATCAGATTTCTGAAGGAATCATCCTAGTGGTGGCGAGGGAGGGGGTATTAGAATCTTGCTAAAGGAAGCAGGGATATTTCTCCTGACCTGGAAAGGGGTTGGGGTTGATAGACTCCTTAAAAAAATGTGACCCACACCCAGCTCTCCCAGCGCCCTGGAAGGAGGCAGCACCCCAGAAGGGAATGGCTGTGGTACCCTAGAGAGCCTGGACTCTAACCACCAAGCTCCCCAAGAGCAGTGCTGACACTGGGTCTCAGCTTTGGCAAGGAAGAAGCTGCAGACATACCCACCTCTGGTGAGGCACCCAGCTTGGTACACCAGGCATCAGGGGTCAACGTGATGTTTGAAAGAGAGGGCCTTCTGACTGCTGTATAAACCTTCCAACTTGTTATATGGCCCTAGAGAAAGAGAAGGGGGAAGAGAATTCTGTCCTCACACCCATCTCTATAATCACAAAAATTGGATTTCTTCTTGTTGGGGAGCAGTGGAGATTTGGGCACGGATTTGATTTGCTTTAGAAAAAATACAGATGGCCCTTGAGATTGTGCATTAGATTGAGAAGGACAAATAGGAGAGAAGAGAGGAATAAGAGGAAGAAATTATGCTACATGAAAGAGTGGAGAAAGGAAAAGAAGGGAGAAAATGAGCGGAAAGAAGGAAGAATATGACAAGGGTTCGTTCTAATGGTAGCCCATATGCTATAGAGCTCAATAGTCATAAGATACAAAGCGGGTTAACAGACTGTTAAATAATACATATTCTAGCCCCTTCCTTGACAAATAAATATTCACAATGATAGAATGAAAACTCTGTTTAAAGCTATGGGTTTTTATATGACTGAGAGTCAACAAACTCTCAAAGATGACTGGATTTAATTATATTGTGCATGTCTGAGTGTTCCTTTGATGGGCTAGCGCTGTTTGATAAGTAATAAAATAACTCATTAAATCACAAATATATTCCATAAAATTTGCTTTTCTTGCCTTTGTTTCAGCAAAACACTAATTATGTTATAATCAGCATTTGCACGTATTTGTATTCTATTGACACCAATGCTAAAATAGACACATTTCTTGAAATATTATAGTCTAGGATAATTTTTTTTAAAGATTTTATTTATTTATTTGACAGAGATCACAAGTAGGCAGAGAGGCAGGAAGAGAGAAGGGGGGAAGCAGGCTCCCTGCTAAGCAGAGAGCCCAATGTGGGGCTCTATCCCAGGACCCTGAGTTCATGACCTGAGCCAAAGGCAGAGGCTTAAACCACTGAGCCACCCAGGAGCCCCTAGGATAATTTTTTTATTATTAATTTCTATTTGGAGAACATTCACTCTGCTAAAGAAGTAGTACCTGGAGTTAACAGAATTCCTTTATATATCATGCTTATGCATGATATCTGGATTGTGTATAATAGATTATTTTTACTATAGAAGTTATAAAATATTTCTACTTCAATATATACATTGTCATATCTTGATTTTCACCATCTCTCAAAGCAGTATCTAGAACCATGCAATAATGTAAAGCAGAATACTTCTCACACTGTATCTTTATCCATATCTAGACAGATTTAGTAGTAATTGGATTATTTAATTTTAGAAAATGTTTCTCAGACTCCATGTGCTGGTGCTCTGAATATTGTGCTAATTTGTAAATACCTCTGGAACCACAAGGAGGAATAAGAAAGTGTATGTTCAGCACTAATGGGAAATGATACTTGGTCACATGAGACTATCACACTCATGCTATCAGAGAACAATGATTTGACAAGTTAATTAATTTGTCTTTTCTGTTACCTAAGTGCCTCTGCCATTCAAATCTTGTCACTAGCTCCAAAGTAATGTTTGTTTCTGACGTATCAATGGTACAACCCAGAGGTCTTCATGGCATTTGGATGGAGTCATCTTTATTATTTTAACGACAAAAGGCAAGGACAGAGAAGGTCCCCATTTCCCTGGGGCCTGAACAGTGTTAATTACGAGCATGGATGTTTAGGGTTACATCACCCGAGCACTGAACACTGGATCCCAATTGACAGAGGTGCCCACGTGGTCTTTAATTCATTTATGTCCCTTTGTGACAAGTAGGGCTCTCTAGGGTATGAGGCCAGAGAAGAACCCCTCTTGTCTGGTGTAAGCTCAGTACTGCAAAGGAGAGGGGGAATGAAGAGAGGGAAGGCAACAGGAGAAAGAAAATAGACCACAGAGACTCTAAGGCTACCTCTCACATCCCCAAGGTAAAGCCTCTGACCTTTAATGGTCTCCGTCAAAAAGACTAAGTTCTAGAGCATCCAAAGAAAAATCTTCAGCTTACATACATTCAAAGAGCCTCTATAAACAAATGTATATAAATATGTAAATACATGCTCTGTGTAATCTTTACAAATTACATGTAATTTAAATATTATATATATTTTTTTGCATAGCAATGGAATTATTTTCTTCTTTCCAACGTTTTCTGCTTTCCCTCTCCTTCTGAGACTCTCTCCGCTGATGGAGTTTGGGAGATGCAGGTGTAGGATGGTAGAGATAAAAAAAAATCATATATGGCATTACTGGTTGCCAGATTGAGGATTTCAGAGAACAGTAAGGAATCTGTTTGTAATTTTAGGAATCCATTTGGAATTGACCATTTGCTGAAGGGGAAGGGTAAATAAAATATGCCTTAGAAAATAAACATCGGCCCTCTGTAATGTCCATTGATTAAAAAAAAAATTTCTAACACAGGTACACACAGTCATGAAGAACGTATACTTAGATGAAAGACTATTTCTTTAAATTGGCTAGCTTTTTTTTAACTTACTGATTGCATCTGCTCATGCATCTATTTGTTGAAGATCTGATGAAAGCGGGGCACCTAGGCAGCTCAGTTGGTTACGTGTCTGACTCTTGGTTTCAGCTCAGGTCATGATCTCATGGGTCATCGGATTGAGCCCTGCATCGGGCTCCAT